TCTTAACCCTAATGGATCGAATAGGAGAGGCAATGCTCTAGCCTATGAATCACTAATTTCCTCCTATTTATAGAGGTCCCCTGTCATCTTAACCCTAATGAATCCTCCCCTATTGGGTATTGGATCTTCATCAAACTATCCAAGCCTCTTAGATTAGTGATCTCTATCCAATAATCTCTCATAGGCTTTTATTGGATCTCGTCCATGAGATCCAATAATTCAATAAGATAGGGTCTTCGACGGATATCTCATATCCGAACCTCTACTCATCGCAACGCCTATCATATGTGTGTGACCCTCTAGGTCCAATATCGAGCTGGTCGTAAGTCATACCTATTAGAATTAGTGAATTATTATCTCCATAATAATTCACTCGATTCGTCGACTACGAACGTACTATGCGACTACGCCGCAGTCCCCAGACGATATAGGGGAATCCAATCCATTAGACCTGTTTTTATCCTCAATTACCATATACCTATAGTCACTCATCCATTTAATATCTCAAAGACTATATATCGGGCATGGTGCTGTCAGACCTAATATGGTTTCTACTCGAGTTTTGCTCTAATCAGATTCTCCCAGAGAACTATTTCTCTCTCAATCCAAATGACCCTGGCTAGGGATTTGTCTGAGCAAGAACACATGGGACATTCCTCCCATGATACCGAGAGTGGATGATCCTTTATCGACACTTAATAGACCTCGTAAGGTTGACTATCACTCTCGAAGACTAGCTATGTTAGATTTGGGACATTCAAACCTATAAGTCCAGTATCAAAGAGTGGAGCACTCATACAGGACATCCTTGGTGTCTCAAGTCTAAGGACTAGATATACCACTGGGACCACAAAATCGCTGTTTGACAATAATGCATCATCAACCATCCAGCATTCCGTAAGCGGATCAATTAGTAAACACATTCTTCAATGAGCACTTATACTGTATCCCTAGTGTCCCCACACGAGTAGCTATGAGACCAGCTGCATCCATCATATGGATGAGTATACAACACACCAGTCTGTCCGGTTATCTCGATGTCTCTCTCGAGTAACCTATGACTGTGATTATTAAAGATCTGTGTTTAAAGATGAATCAGTCTCATTATCGTGATCTCATCACGATTTGATTCTCATTGCATAGATTCAAGGACATCACAATATATATATTGCATATATGCAACACTCGATATAAAGTGATAAAATACCATAATATAATAATAATAAAAATTGCATGTCAAGTCACATGTGTCATCACTCACGTGATTGGCTTGCAGGGCACATATGACTAGCACCTAAGGCATGTGAGTCGAGCACAGCCAACCTACGTAAGAAAAAACCTAAGAAGAAATTTGCTACGATAAAAAAATGGGCAAGGAAGGCACCTAAGGTGCATGAGTTAAGCATACCTAACCCACATAAGAAGAAATCTGCTATGGTAAAAAACTAAACCAAGAAAAATATCCGAGATACATAAGGTACAAAAACTTGACCCACACTCAACGAAACCCACAACAAAGGTATGAGGCGAAGCATGCTCAAAGTACGTAAAAGCGAAGCATGCTCAAAGTACGTAAAAGCCCAAAAGCCATGCTCCAAACCCCAAAAACCTTGAAGCATGCCTTTGGAGGGGGCTGCGGGGGCGCAAATAATATGAAATATAAAATTAAATAGCTACTATTCATCATCTTAATACCATATCAAGCCAATACTCTCTTGTAGAAGCCCAAAAAATAGCTCGGGTCAATTATCAAGTTGTTGAGGCTACCTCCACAAAATATTCACAAGGATATTCCTAGAAGACCAAAAGGTGGTTCAAGTCAACTATGAACCAACTCCCATACAAAATATTCATAGGACTATTCCTAAAAGACTATAAGGCAATTTAGGTCAATTACAAGCCGGTTCCCTTATAGAATATTCGAAGAAATATTTTCAAAAAACTAGAAGGCAGTTCGAGTCAGTTACAAACCAACTCCCCTATGAAATATTCGCAGGAATATTCTAGGAAGATCAGACGGTAGTTCAATCAATTACAAATAGGCTCCTATGTGGAATATTCATAGAAATATTTCAAAAAAAAAAGAGGCAATTCAGGTCGATTATGAACTATCTTCTCAGATCTTCACGAGATATTCTCTCCTCTTTTACGGTGAGTATAAATATATGTCGTTAGCTTCACATTAGGAAAGAGGAAGAAAGAAGATAAGAAAAGATACAATTAAGTACTAACTTGAGCATCAACTCGCGAAACTTTTCTCGATCTTGATCTTTGTATAGGAACGAGATTAGAGAGACCCTGCTCTATCCTGAACAACTCCTCACAAACATATCAAGGCCATGTCGATACAAACATCACCAATATTTTTTCCTAATAATTTTGATTATAATTTTTTAATATCAAAAATCAGAATCGAAATCGAATCAGAGCCAGTTTGAATGGTTCCAATTTGAATCGCTATTTTTTTATTATTCAAATTGTTAATTTTTAATTAAAATAAAATATAAATTTATTTTTAAATAATTTAAAATCACATAATTGATTTCGATTTTTTAAATCTAAGAACTAAAACCGAATTGATCGAGATTGATTTTGAGTATCTAAGACAAACATTCTGTAACATGAAAAAAAAAAATCATAATTAAACCAAAATCCATCAATTCAAAAATATAGAGAGCGAGCATAGTTCTATGATGAGGAGTTTGAGTCGTGACGTGTCTAATATGTATATTATATAATAATTGAATAAAAAATTAATTAAACAAAAGCTATGAATCTAAAAGCTCAAGAGAATTACTTCATTAAATAAGAACAGAAAAGATAACTAAATGGTTGAGGTAAAAAGTGTATAGTTCTAAAATTAGACATCAGAGTCATGTTTAATATGAGTATTATATAATACCCGATTGGAATAAGTAAAAACAAAAAGTTACATTGATTAAAATTAGACGGGATATAGTTTGCCTTCGATCTAATGTGCATCTCATGTAATACTATAATTAAACTCAAAGGATTAATTACATATTATCCTTATAATTAGCTATATTAAGTATTTTGATTTTTATACTTTAAAAAGTTACATTAGCATCCTTGTAGTTATGAAAATAAGACATCTATATCTATTTACTCTAATTTGTAGGTTTTATCAACGAAAATATAAAAACAACAGATAAAAATAATAATTTTAATATTTCAGTTGATGGTGATAGACGTTGAGGGTGGCGGATGACGGTACCGTTGGGAGTCGTGGGTGGATATTATGGATAAGAAAAGTGGCGACGAGAAGTGATGGTCGTTTTGTATCTACATCGACATCAATGCAGTTATCGAGCGATAAAAGGGCTACCAATGTAGATGTTGAGTGGTCCTTTCGTTGCTCAGTAACTACGCCAACACCGATGCAGATGTAGAGCGATGAAAGAGTCACTCGACAACTACATCGACAACGATACATATGCAAAAACGTCGTCGACGTAGATGTAGAGTTGCTCGGCAATTGCATTAACGTCGTCGACGTAGATATAGAGTGACCCTCATATCTCGTCATCGCTCTCTTTATTTACACATCCACCCATGGCCCCCAATAGTATCGTCATCCCCCACTATCGACATTATTCATTACCATCAATTGAAATATTAAAATTATTTTTTTATTTTTATATTTTTATTGATAAAATCAATGTTTCACTTTTATAATCATACAGATACCAATATAATTTTTTAAAATATAAAAATCGAATTACTCAATATAACTATGTACGAGAGGCAGTAATTAGTCCCAACTTAAACCATCCAAACATTGTGCACACCAATACGATCATGCAACAATAATAATCATCTTTGTGGCAATCGAATCAACCCCTCCAACCACAAAACTCAAAGGTATTCTCTTTGTAGGCAAGCCAGATATATGATCGATCGATAAGCATGAGATCGTTGTTGTCACTGTTACGAATCAAATCAAAATCTCGAATCTAAAAAAAGCATGGGATTATTGGTGTCACTGAGATGGCATTGGGAGCATCATGATCACAATAAGTGACATCTTCATCATGTGGATGTCAACTCCAACCACCCAAACATTGTACACATTAATAGGATCATGTCGATGGAATCAACCCCTCCCTCAAACAGCCACATTCGAAAGTGTTTCCTTTGTTGGCAAGCCATGGCGAGATGCATGATCGATCAATAAGCGGATAACTCAGCATGAGGAGAAAGGGAAGACGGTAGAGTAGGCTTGCGGGTGAAGGCGGGCGACGTTGATGTTGATGTTGACGTTGATGGCCTCCTCTTTTGTTTTAGCTTGCAAGAATCCAAAGTCTATGACAACAATGGGATGTGTCTATAGGAATACTGTATCCCTTCTACCCCTTTTGTCATGTATGTGACATGGGTCCTATATCTTATCACCACCTTGTTTGTTTTATGTGGAATTCTTCTATGAATAAATTGATAGTTTTATTCAGTTAATTTAAAAATAGATTGTAAAATTGAGTAGTGATTTTATGAACACCTCCTCGATTTTTTTTAGTCATTTAAAAGAGTTAATAAGATTGATGGGGAGAGAGAGAGAGAGAGAGAGAGGAAAAAGAGTAAGAGAGATCCTTTAGAGGAGGAGAGGAGATAAAGAAGGAAGAATGGAGTAGGGTATGAGACCGATTTATGACGATAACGAAAGAGGGAGACACAAACATGAGGAAAGAGATGAAGATGATGAGAAACATATTTATAAAAATAAGTATAGAAATTTTTTTTGGAAACAACTTAAAAAAAACATGTTTATGGGGATAAATCATCATAATTTTTAAAATTTTGAACTATTTCTTTGTTTAGAAAAATGAGAATTTTCTTAATATCTCTCCTCCATTTCTTTCCAATTTTTATTTATTTATTTATCATGTAATAATATATTTGTTTTATTTATCTATATATGCATTCTCCTTCTCTCTCTTTCTCCGCATACCAGCTCCTCTTGCTCGTAGCTCTCTCTCTCTCTCTCTCTCTCTCTCTCTCTCTCTCTCTCT